CGGAAACATTTTAAAAAATATCGCGTGCCCTGCTAACTTCCACGGAAGGTAGCAGGGCACCTTCTGAAAACCAATAAAGGAAACCAGCTAAACCCAAACTAACTATCTGATAATTTGCCGTAAATTATCCGTTGTGAAAAGAATTATGCGGTAAAAAAATCATATAACTCCACGTCTCTAACTTGTACCGACTTCCGTAAAAATTTCAAGCTTTATAGGGTAGTTGGCACCCTTAATCGAAAATATGTATATCAAGAAATTGGCATGAAAGTGAAAAAAATAAAAATTTAATTAAATTTACCGATAAGGCGACGTAGCGGCCGTTTTAAAAATTTGCAGCTATCTTTTTTCGCAACTCGTTACACCATACGTTTCTTCGGATAGGTTTTTTATTGCCGCAAAAGTTTCTTACGTTTGAAAACCTGAATCAAGTTTTGAGCCCGCATTTTAAACTAACGCTCCTCCCATGACGCTGAAAAGTGCATACAAATCTACATGACGCGACCGAACGCATAAGAAACAAACACGGCCTGAAGTGCATATAAAAAAGGAGGACGAGATCAGTGAAAAAGTCTTAAAAAAGACGTTAAAGAGCATTACTTCACGGAAGTTAGCAGGGCACTCGATATTTTTTAAAATATGTCCGCGGCAAAATTATTCTTTTCACGGATAATTTACGGATAATTAACGGCAAATTATGCGATATGAATTTTTGCTTTGAGAAAAAGTTGTCCTGCCAAGTTCAGAGAGGTAGTGGAAATAGATACTTTGTGGCCCATAGCAACTGGCGCCAGTATAAAATATTGGCTGTGTAGCGTGGGTGCGGGGATGGGTGCAACTAAGAAAATAATGCTGTGCAAATTAACAGAGAAATTACAAAATGTGGTCGTAGTAGTCACTGGCTATTGAATAAGTATTTAGTAATATATAAAGATAAAATCAGTGCGTATTCAAAAAAATTAAATTTTATAAAGAAAAAAAAACCAAGAGGAAGTGCTTGCGTGCGTGCTAGTGTCTGTGTGTGCGTGTGCGTAGTGGCTGCATGTGAGTTTATAAATGCAATGCAACAACAATTTATAAAATCAAAAATAAATAATCGTACAAAATTTCAGCGTTAATATAAAAAAAAAATAATAAAAAATAATAAACGAATGTGGCTTGTAGGAAAGTGTGCTAAATATCATTAGTGAACTAATTAAATAACGCAAACGCTTGTAAGTAGCCATGTAAGAGACTGTGTTGTAAAGAGGATTTAATAAAAATAAAATACTAAATAAGTAGTGATAGTAGTTGAAAATAGTGTTTTTCTTTTGCTTTCCAAGTAAGACACTACTTTGTATCATATATGTTATTAAGAAAAAAAAAAACGTTAAATATGGTAGCAAATGCAGTAGTAGCAACTAGTAGAGTGGTAAGTGATTTTTAGCCTTGCCGTACCTGTCCCGAAACTCAATTTCAATAGTTCGTCTTTATTGCAGAAGTCTTCACTACAACATTTAACTCTATAGATATTCTGTTTTTCACGGCTAGTCAGGCATTCGAGTGGTTCACGCTGCAGGTCATACCTCTTTTCTAGGCACCTATGCGGTGGTGTGGACGCGTGCGTTTAAAAAATACAGAATCGCGTTTTTTTTTTAGTTTTCGTTTACAGAGAATTAAAAGGTAGTTAGGAAATAGAACAATTAGTGAAAGTAAAAAATTAATTTCATCATATATTTATTTTTTTATCAAATTGGTGTTTTAGTAGAAAATTTCGAGCAATAAGAACAAGTGGTTAGTAAAAATTTTCGAACGAGTAAAATAGAAACAATTTTTTTATAAAATAACTTAGTTTCTGTTTTAGTATTTCGGTGAATGCAGTAAACAATTTTATAGAGAACAAGGAACGATGCTAAACTTAAAATCGCAGCAGCCTAGATTTACTTGTTTAGTGGGCGCTTGGACGGGCGTACGTTCAAAAAAGGGGCACAGACATTTTTTGGGATATGTTGAAGTGGACATCACAAAACAGGCATGAATGTAATTAGCAGCAGCAGCCAGTAAAAGTTTAAATTTTAATTAGACACATTTTTTTGAACGGGTAAAGAGAGCAGCAGTTGTGCAAAAAAAAAAATACTAAATAAATAATAAATTTTGTGTCCTATCCATCTGGTGATTTACTTTGATATTGAACGTGAATATGTTTTAAGTACTCGAATTTTGGAAGGAAAGAAGCTTCACTAACTGGCAACGATAACAATACTAAATTCTAAATATAGTCCGTCAACACTATTTTCTGAAATGACTGCAAAAAAAATTTTTATGATTATTTTTCCCCTTTTCAAATTTCACCTAATTAAATTGAATCAACCTACAAGGTATTTAACCGATAATTTTTAGGCAATTTTGACTCTTATCTATATCTAACCAATTGATTTCCTGTACAAATAAAACTTTCATTGGCCATAAACTGCTGCTCTCTAACACAGAAAATGTAACATTTTGCGTATGTACTTTTGTAGGAATTGTTAGCATTTTGCGCACCTTCGAAAGCCTGCTGCGAATTTGTGGCATAATATTTGATAATGGGACGCAAATCTAAATTGCACAAATCGCGATCCTTACAGCAGGCATGTCCGCCGCTCGGAGCAACGGGACGCGCTGTGGGCCCACCGCGACTGCCATCGTTACACCAAATAAATCGACCAGGCGGAAAACTCTGAGACATATTAAGACACCTGAACGAAACGCGAAAAAGGTGCAGAGAATTGCAAATCATTTAGACGCGACGAAAACAATCAGATTGAGCCAATCATTAGATAGTATAATATACAATTGTAAAATAAAAAATTCTAAATTATATATTGATAGATATGTAGTTGTTTTCAAACTAATAAGCATTGGAAATACGTAGGACTTTACCTGTAACTGAATATGATTTTGTCGTCATCCTTCACTACCGATGTAAAGCAATACCCATCCGTTTCGCATATATAATTGTTGTCCTTGCAAATATCGCAGTGGCATTTCAGCTGCCCTGTAGGGTGTGAAATGAAATCGGGGAGAAAAGGTTACGATTACTCATTGTTGATTATGATGCAGTTATAAATAACAATACTAAGCATAATAAGGAAAAATTCACACAATTATTGTGCTATGAAAAACAGCAACAACAACAACAACTACAGCAAAGCATTTGTATGATTTTAGCAGACGACGCGACGATTAAAAAACTTGATTCGAGTTGCGAAAAATTAAACCCACGGAATATGTAAAAATGTACACATGTACATACGTATGTTTGTGTGTATGCATGTATGCAGATAGGTATGTTTGTAAACAAATGCAATGACGTAAACCAATGTTAAACAGCTGTTATTGGTGCACTCGCAGCGTCATGTTGATGCGTTGTTGGGCGAGTGTTGGAGAAGTACAGTGATTTCCGGAAAAATAAAAATAATTTTGTGCGCGAATTTAGTTAAAATGCGTTTGTATGTATGCATATGGAAAAGTAACAGAAGCAATGTGTAATCTACCAAAGCTGCTATTATTTTGGAGATTTCAAAATAATAAAGCCATGTTGTAATTTTTGCTTTATAAGTATTCGTGGTTCTTTTTTTATTATAAGACACCAAGTTCACACAGAAAAGTGATTCGCTGATTAATTCACAGTTTCCGTAAAATATATCTGCTCCAAAAAGCAGGTGCTATTTTTGTCCCACCCGTAACAGAAGAAATAACTCAGATTTTTTTCGGAATTGTTTACGTATATTATACGTAATCATCATATAATAGTGAATTAGGTTTTTTTTTTACGAGAAGGAAGCATCGAAAGCCTATACCCGTCATTGTGGTACTTTAACCCGGACTAAATCTCCTACACCTAGTGAATTAGGTGTAGCTTTATCAAAATTGTTGAGTAATTTATACTTAAATTTAAAAAAGAAGGAACATTTTTTCTCTACAAATGTCCCACTCGTGACGGTGTACTACATGTGTAATAAGTATGTATACAAAACTTAAACTAGTTATCTAGTTAAGCCGGCTATTGCTACGTAGGTAAGTATGTACTATGTACTTTTGTCTGTGATTATAAAATCCAACGTTTGTTTTAATCATAAGAAACACCGAAAATCTTAAGAAAAAACTTGGGTTCTACATATTTTGATTATAAAGATGATAAAATAGATCTTTAATGTATATGTTTAATTTTGAAATAATTCATGTTTATGGTAAGCAACTAGAAAGTATTATCTAAGTTAACACACACAACTCATTCACCCTTATTCGACATGAGAATGGCCTTTTAGACCATTTATCTACAATTAATGAAAAACACCTCAGGTATTTGCAAAATTTTCAAGTCTCTTAAGTCAGGAAAAATTTTCCTTTAACGTGCTGAACCATGTAAACAGTATCAACCTTATCATGAGTTTAATTTTTCCCGAACCGTTTCACTTAACCACTTTCTGCCTTCTATGTATTTATTTGAAGGAAAGCCTTATATTTGTATCGCATACAATTTTATAATACTACTTTTTTTTAAGTCGTTTTTTTTTGCTAAAAATTACTTGTTATATGTATAAATACATACTACATTATTTTGTTGCTATCCTATTTATTTCTCTACGCGAATAACATTGGGAAAACTCCCGCTTCGGATATGGGCAGTTTGTAGTTAGCGTAAACGGACACAGTGACACGGGATTTTTATATATTAATATACATATACACCGGCGATCACAAGTGAATGCATGATGGTAATTTTTGTTAAATTTTAGCAATGTTTTTCAAGTGACATTTATTTTGTTATAAAAATATGGTTCATACTTTTACCAAAACCACATATATAAAGGTGCGATTAAACGTGGCAATGCAAGCGCTTTTTCTACGCATTTTAATGTCAAATTGCGAAATCGAAAGTCTGCCTTCCCATGTTAACAGCCAGAAAGTCCTTTTTGCGGATTTGTAAAAATCACTTTCGGAAACTAAGATTGCACGGTGTGACTGCAACTGAAGTTACGCAACACGCTTTCGAGAAATAATTTCAACTTGCTCGTGCTGCACTAGCAATTTTCATTTTTGCCAAATTTTTTTATAAAATTATAAAAATGTAGAACAAAATATGAATAATACGTGTAATTAATTTATTCTACTGATGTGGAGTATTTAAGTATTAGTGTTTAGGTTTAATAAATTTTTCAGGTCATTCATTTTTTTGTAAGCAAACAAATGTCTGCTAACATAGTTGAAAATGAACTTGTCTGCATTCACCGTGTAAAAACGACTTGCACTTGTCACGTCTAGCAGCTACTTAAGTCAAAATTTCAAACTTTATACAGAATTGAAAAAAATTAGAAAAATGTTCATCAAAACTTTGAATTTTTCAAATTTTAAAAAATTTTTGGGTAAAAGAAGTTCAAGTTTTAAGTTTTTAAAAATTACGTTGATTTCTAATATATGTACAGTAACGAACAAAAGTATTGGCACAGTGGCCATATATGCAAAGTTTTTTAGTGTAATTTATTTTCGATAATAATTTATAATTTTTGTGCACTTTTTACGTGAGTTTCTTGTAGAATAAAATGCGCTTGACCATTTGCAAAAAAAAAACAAAAAAAATAACACTAGTTTTTATGAATTGTACTTGTTATACGAACAAAAAACCACAATAGCCGGCAGCAAAAAAAAAATTAAAAATCATGCGGGATTTTCTTATGCAAAGAAAATAAAAAAAATAATAATTAACGCCAGTTTCTATAAATTGCGCTTGTTGTATGAAAAACACCGCAAAAGCTGTGACAATCAAAATTGAGCATCAGTTGCTATTGCTCAGGACAACACTGTTTGTATTCCCAAAAAACAGAACCAATGCAACGATTCACTACTATTCGACAGGATCCTTTTTAAAGCACATTTAGCGCAAAACAAAGGCACTGTTTCCTATTATCAGTATTTTTCATATAATCGGCGCACTAACCAGCTTTTTTTTTTTTATTTCTCATGTAACTGCTGGAAAGCTGAGTAAGCTGAGGGAGCCACCAACATTTGCACAGAGGACGCTGATATTAGTATTTCTTTTATTATTTTCATTTATTCGTTACTGTTTTCATAACTCGAAAAAGTTTAACGATTCAGTAAATAAACGGGATTTAATTGAATTGAAAACAATTACAACAACAATTGTAACACCATCAAGTGGTGTAAGGAGTGAAAACAAAGCATTTTAAAACGAATAATAAATAAATATTTATATGTATTCATATGTATGTACATACATATCTGCATGTTTGTATGAATACATACATATGTATATAAGTGCATGCGAGCGTATGCTATTGATTGTGTACTTTAAATGCAAAATAAACAAAAATAAGCCCAGCAGAGCTTCATAAACTAATGAACACCCGATTGACACTGCCCATATGCATTAATACATTCGTTCGTAAATGTGTATTTATATACAGATGTATGTACATTAGAGTGGTCCAAAATAATAAAGTCGGAATTTTATCGCCGCCACCCCCTAGGATTGTTCTGAACCGAAAATAAATATACCCCTGTTTTTTTATTTTGAAATCAAAAAATATTTAGGGAGTGCTCACGGCGCTCAAAGTTTTCCATGGGGAAAAAACAAATTTTCGTAAAAATGGTATAAAACTCTTGAAAATCAATATTTTTCAATCGTAAAACTGTGGTTCTCTTCAGGAGACTACTAATAATAATATTCAATTGTTGATTTGACCATTTTTTATGATTAAAGATTTTTTAGGGGTGCCCCCATTGCATTTTCTAGGACCTATAAAATAAAGTTACCATGAAAAAATGGTTAAAGGAACAATTGAGTATTATTACTTGGAATCTCCTGAAGATAAGCAAAGTTTTCCGATCAAAAAATATTGATTTGCAAGAATTCTACACTATTTCTACGAAAAGTTGTTTTTCCCCATATAAAATACATTGAAAACTTTGAGCGCTTTGAGCAGTCCCTAATTTTTTTTTTATTTCGAAATAAGAAAATAGGGGTATATTTTTTGTCGGTATAGAACAATCCTAGGGGGTGGCGGCATTAAAAATGCGATCTTATTTTTTTTACATACATTTTTGGACCACTTTAATGTATATACGTATGAACATTCATCTTTACATACATATATACATGTATACAAACAAACTTAAGAGCGTGTCAGACGTGGCAATATATTTCGTATGCAATATATTTCGAAAAGGCTGTCAAATTGAGAAATTTCAGAAAGCAGTTGCATGAGCACTTTGCAATTAAAATGTCTATCGAAAGAGGTTTTTTTTATTTCCGAAAGAGGATTTGCAGATTGCTAGTGCAGCACGAGCAACTTGAAATATATTTCCGAAATCGATTTGCCCTGCAATTGAGAGTCACAACTTGCAACTTTTATTTCTGAAACTGATTTCCGAAATGTGGCGGAAAGGTCTTTATGCCTATTCACACATCGAAATAAAATGTCTCTTTCTCAATTTGACAGCGGTTTACGTGGACAGCTGGAAATATTGCCACGTCTGACACGCTCTTTACTAGTGAGGTATATTGCACTTTCCAACAGCAAGCGTGTGGAAGCCACTATGCATGCAAGAGGGGTTGGTATAAGTTTTCAGAGGCTCTTTTCCCCGCCTTTTTTTTAACACTCTTAAATGTAACCTCATATCAGATATACAGACAAACAAGTAAGAAAGTCTAAGTTCGGGCGGAGCCGAACATTAAATACCCGGCGCAAGTATTAAATATATGTTTTCCACCTTTCCGAAAGCTACCGCTACATGATAAGCCGGGGTGTATACATTTTAAGTAAATTAGCGTCCTTAAATTTCGAAATATTGAAATTTCAAGCATATCTGAAATTTACCGTTATATGAAAAGCGGCCTCAATTTTAGTCCGATTTCAACAATTTTCAACGGTTTGCTTTTATGTGGCAAGCACAATAACCATACCGAGCTTGGTACAAATTGCTAGAACGGTTAGCGAGATACATATATGTGATCACAAGTGGGCGGTGCTACGC